TCAGTCCAAGTTACGCCAACGACAAACTGATCTAACAATAAACATTTTAATTTCCGCTTTATCTGATCGATGTGCTGGTGTTGGTACAAAACTATACATATGACTTAAAAAATGACAATATATGCTTTGACTGTCATGAGGCTGGATGTAGATGAAGAAGGATTTGCTTGCTATTAACGTTAACAGGTGACATTCTATGCCTCTAACTCTTGACTTAATCGGCATAAAGCCAGTGTATTTCCTGTATCAAATAAATATTCAGTACTTTCGATAAAGAGTCTAGTATTTTAGTTTGACAAAGATATACACTGCCAAACGCATATTATTCTAGAAGCTTCTGGTAGTGTTTCATGTACTAGCATGATGAACTAACAAGGATTTTCTCTCATAAAGTTTTGACTTAGAATTCACTGTAATGAACATTGAACAATATCTAACTATATCTTGGCTGATTTTTTACAATCGATAAGTTTGATCTATTTTTATTTGAAATAATTATTCAACACAATTGAAATGCATCTCAATCTACAAAACAACAATGCTACTATAGACAGATAGATGAGATAGCTAAAATATAGAGTTTTTATCTTATGAATGGGATGCGAAGCAGAGCATTTGTCTAATCCTTGGCGAGTTTCTAAGGTGCAAAGCATCCTATGTTGACGTTATTTGCGAGTTTTTTTTATTTATTCCTTTCTTTCTTTCTTTCCAAGATCCGCATCAAAAGTTGTCATTTTGTGTAACACTGAGCTGTGCAATGGAATATCGAAAAATACTCATTTAAGCGTGAGATTAACATACTAATGAGGAATGTTTACCAACTTGACAATCGCTTTTGAGCTGATATTTTGTGCATAAGTAGATACTAGTGGACCTAGTAAAAACCCAAAATGATATCGGCTAATAGCGCCTTCTCTTCGAGTTATAGTTAATTTACTGACATTTTAGCCTATATCTTGATATAAGGATGAAAATCGAGTGATCTCAATTTGACCTGAATTCTTGTCCATGGATAATACCAAATGTAGACAGCATCTCCTGAAAATTTCAGTTCTATCGGACACTTGTTTCACGAGATAATAAGCTTTTAGACAAAAAGAAGTTTCTCATATCATTGGTAAAACATGAGCACTTTTTGAAATATATTATCTCGTGAAGAAGGTGTTCACTTGAACTGAAATTTTCAGGAAATGCTATCTATATCTGGCACTATCCATGGATAAGAATTCAGGTAAAATTGCGATCATTGGATTTTCAACCTTATATCAAGATACAGGCTAAAATTTCACTAAATTAACTATAACTCGAAGAGAAAGCACTATTAGCCGATATCCTTGTAGGCTTTTACTAGGCACACTAGTATCTACTTATGCACAAAATATCAGCTCAAAAGCTATTTTCAAGTTAATGACCTTTCCTCGTAAGATCGAACTAATACCACTCGTTTTCCATTTTCCAACAGGACGTTTCGTTCGTTTACAGAAAGCGTCGCAAAAACATGATTTTGACTTTTTTTAAATTTCGGGATAATTAAAACGAAAAGCAAAAGTAAAAGTTAGACGCCACTTTTCTCTAACAACTGTTGTACAGCTGATAATATATAATGAATCATCTAGATAATTTTGGGAAAACCTTGAAATCGTGATTTTTTAAATCGAGCTTCGCATCGTATTTCGCAGACGAATCTCCACTCGTGTACCATCTAATTTTTATTGTGCGTTTATTATTATTAATTTTATTCAGAACAGGTTTTGAGACGCATGTATACTTACTTTTTTCGAAGTTTGCCACGTGTTTTTTAATGAGTCATTATCTCATGAATTAGAAATTTTTATAGTTCACCTAATTTATTGAAAACTACTTGCATTCTTATTTTCAAGAAGTGTAATATATATGTATTTCTTTATTTTGTCATCTGCTTTATTCGCTTTGTTTTTATTTTTTTCTTTGTTCTACAAAATCTTATATTATATATCTATTTTTAAACATAATTTAAAAACAACTATTAAAAGTAGAAACTGTAGCAATAACATTAATATAGATTGAGAGTGAGATAAAATTTAATTAACTGTCGAAGTACGGAAAAATATAGAACTTCGCTTCCCTGCTTCAGTGATACTTAAAATTTGACAGACGATTTATATATTACCAAATTCAATTCAACTCTTAATAATATTTTCTATTAATAACAGCAATTATTTATATCATATATCTGAATTTTATAATCATTGAACTAACAGTATTTTATCAAATGAATTGATCAGATTAATCTGGAATTGACTCACATGTTTATTAACATCCACCAACTGGAACTTTGAAAAAACCGAGTTATATAAATCATGATTTTCTAAACAATTGATAAAGATCTACCTTGAAAAAACACTTTTTCGTATTAGTTTTTACAACACTTTATAGAACTTGAAGTACTATCTCAGGAAAAACTTCCATCTATCCATAGTGAATACTTCTTTCTAGTTGAAAAATACGACATACTCGAAGGATTTCGGTTTTTCGAGAGAAATACATCGTTTTCGGAATATACAAAAATTTTAATGCTCTTTCATCTTTCTAACTTCTCAAAATAATTTTTTCAGATTTAGTATGAAAAACTGAATTTTAAAATGTTGTTAAACCGGTTCCAGATTGAAAATTCGATTAATGGTACCGATTCAAAGTCTCATTGAGTTTAATACGTACATGTTTCCTAAGATAATAAGAAAACGGGGCAGTACTTTTTTTACATAAAATATCTAGTTTTTATTCAAACTAGGTCGAGATTTCTTCACATAGATAAAATCTGATGAGAAATCGAATATGCATACTTTGAAGCTGTTAATAGAGTCTAGAAAGGATTTTCAGACTATCGCCAATCAAAACATCATATTAAAAGGAAGAGCAGTTATAACATGCATCTTTTTTAAAGATAATATCTTTTCTAGCAACAGTATGATACTTTGGCATTTGTAACGGCAATAAATAGGAAAGCATATCATGTAGTCCAACAGCCTGCTGCTGAGCAAATATAAATATTTCGAAATCAACCAATTCATTCGATGACGACTATCAATAAATCTCCATGGCAGAGACTGTGTTTTGTTTGTTTCTTTCGTTTATTTTTTTTTCTTGTTAACATACACATTTGCACTCAATAGATGAAAAGAAAAATAGAGAGAGAAACATTTTCACTCTTCATCGAGTGAGATAGGTACATTGATGAGAAACGTGATTTTTCAAGTTAACAACAAATATTTTTGTATGATTTCTTCTCGACGAAATTTTTTGTCATAAAAAGCATTTATCAAGTAGTAATCAAAGATTTCAAAAAATGATTAGAATGAGATGATATCGATAAAATCATTCGATATATTTATGAAAATTATTTATTATAATGATTTTGCAATGATGCCATACGATGTTAGTAAAGAAAAAACATGTATGATATAGGACTTCCTTATTCTCGCCGAATTATTTATGTTGGAAAATTTAATTTCTAAATATATTCCAATCATTCATGCAAATCACAAGTTGTCTACAATTAGTCAGTAGCACCTACGTATAAACGAACAATAATATACATATATATATATACGCATTACTTACTTCAGTTATACATTATTAATATTTTCTTCGTTGATATCAAGTACAGTATTCAGTTCTCTACATACAAATGGGTAGTCGAGGTGCAAGACAACAACCAGTTAATTATCCTGGATATGGCGCAGGTTACGGTGGAAACTATGATCCGGGTTATGGCAGAGCTAATGTTGGAAATAAACGCAGGAGGTCTGGCGGATATTATGGTGGGTCCTAACTACCAGGTTATACTATTACAACTCCAAATGTATTCGTTCCACAAGGTATGAATCAACTTCCTGCACATCGTGATCCACAGCGTCGTTTCTAATATTATCCTATTGCTATAAAAAGACCATTGAATCTATAAAAATTCAAAATATTTTATGTAAAACTCACGTTTTTTCTAGAAATTAATTTATATACTTTTATGCCGGGAGATATGTAACCTTTAGCTCCTTGTGATGGTTTCTTTTTGACGAGGTATGATCTTCTTTTTTCGTTTTTTATATCATAATCTTCGTATATCTATGAGTTCGAAAAACTATTTCTTTTCTTATCAGAACTGAGTTGATGAACTAGTCTTTTTCAATTGAAGCAATCCATAAACACTGATTTTTTTATGAACATGTATTAAAAGACATAAATATAATCGGTTTAAATATAAAAACTTTTTCAACCTTCGATAGATCATTTCAAATATAATTTTATATGTGCAGTCCGTTATATATTCATAAAATTAGTAGAGGCAATACCAAGCTGGAAAAAGTGTAGTTCTCTACTTTCGAAGTACGAAACGCTCTCGAGCTAGATATTGAAAATACTATTCAATTCAACACTTAATATTATTTTATATTATATGCTTTAATTTTATAATAACTGAAAAAACAGTTTTTTCCTCAAATGAACTAATGCGATTGACTTGAAACTGACTCACATGTGTGTTAACATCTACCAACTAGAATTTCAATAAAACAAAATTATATAAATCATGATTTTCTAAATAATTAATAGAGATCTACCTTGAAAAAACATTTTTTCGCATTGGTTTTGCATCATTTGACACAGCTTGAACTGCTGATCACGAATAACTACCATTTCATCATAGCAAATGGTTTTTCAGATGTCACGTCAAAAATGTAATATAAAAAAGTTTTTAATTTGATTCCAGACTCAAAATTCGATTGATGGTGCCGATTCAAATCTTATAGAGTCCAATAGATACGTGTTTCGTAGGATAATAAGAAAAGAGGGAGGCAACTTCTACATATAATGGTTATTTTTTATTTCAATCAGGTAGAAATTTATCTACATCAATAAAATTTAATGAGAAATCGGATAGACATACTTTGAAGGTGTTCGGAGGATCATGAAAGGGTTTCCAAGCCATCATCAATCAAAGAACCATAGCAGAAGTAGTTACAATATACGTCTTTCTTTAAGATAATATCTTTTGCAGATTGACTAAGATACTTTCGTATGCCTGGAGGCTGAAAAAGGAGAAGCGAATCGCTTAGTGCATCCGCTCGTCACTGGTCAAATGTAAGCATTTCGTGTTCAAGTGAATCATTCGATGATGCCTATTGAATAGATCTTCATGAATAAGAAGTAAATCTTAATAGCAAAGTATTACTAACTGACATTGTTGATGTTGTTACGTTTCTTTATGACATCCAGTCGGGAGATGTTGTTAATTTTGTGAAGAATATTGATTTTATGACTGCAAAAACTTCTCTGAAATGGACAACAGCATTTATTAAAGGAGAATATGAAGAATTTTTTAGTAAGTTATTTCGTGGTAAATAAACTAATTCTTTTTATGATACATTTCCGGAGTTTGAAGCAGAGGCTAAAGTATTCGTTACTCAAGCATCTCAATTCTTTATCTATAACCAAGCATGATTAATGCTTAATCTGCCTCTTAAAAACCATAAAATACCGATCGATGTTTTTCTGTAGACCCTTTCAAAATCCTCTTAAGTCCTCTAGAATATGTCCATTTGATTTCTCATCAAATTTTATCTATGTGGGAAACTATTACCGCGTTTCAATAAAAAAAATCACGTTCCCGTCTTGTTATTATTCTGGTAACTACATTGTTTCTCAACATAAGAAAAGTAAGAAGACAAAAGCGATGCCTAACTATTTGACTAGTCCTATGATAAGGGTGGCTGGGTGTGTGTGTTGTTCCGTCTCTGTACTTTCTTGTTAACATACACATTTGTATTTGATGGATGAAAAGAAAGAGAAAGGGAGAAACGTTTTCAAGGTTCACTAAGTGAAATAGTACATTGTAGAGAAACATGATTTTCCAAGTTATCAACAAATATCTTTCTATGGGTGACTCATCAATGAAACGTTTTGTCATGGAGAGAGTTCAACTAGTAATACTCCAAGTTTTGAAAATAATTAAAATGACATCATACTGATAAAATCATGTAACATATTCATGATACATATTTATGGTAGTAATTTTGTAATGATCATATATGGTGTGACTAAAGAAAAGAAATTCATGATATACAACATTATACTTTTCATTGAAATACTAATATTGGACATTTTAACTTCTAAAAGTGGTCGAATCATTCATGCAAATGACAAATTTTCCACAATTAGTCAGTTGCACCTACGTATGAAAGAATAATTATATACATATATATATATTACTTTTTTCAGGTATATATTATTAATATTTTCTTCGTTGATATCAAGTATATTGTTGAGTTCTCTACATACAAATGGGTAATCTAATAAAAAGAAAACCAGCAGTTGTTTCTCCTGGATATGGTGGAAACTATGGCCCAGGTAATGGCGGTGGATATGGTGGAAATTATGGCGCAGGTAACGGTGGAAATTATGGTCCTGGTTATGGTGGAAACTACGGCGGTGGTTACGGCGGCAATAATCTCAGGGGGCCTGGTGGAAATTATGGTGGGGGTAACCGAAGAAATCATGCTCTAACATCAACAACTGTAGTTTTCCCACGAGGTATGAATCAACGCCCTGCACATCGTGGTCACCATCATCATCATCATCATCTCTAATATTACGCTATTGTTTAAAAATAAAAATTGAATCTGAATGATTCAAAATATTTTATTTAAAACTTGCGTTTTTTTTCTATAAATTAATTTATCTACTTTTATACCAGCAGATATATAACCTCTATCTCGTTGTGATGATTTTTTGTTGATTTTTTATATCAAAATTTTTGTATATCTTTGAGTTCTAAAATTATTTCTTTTTGTATGGGAATTGATTAAATGGACGAGTCTTTTTCAATTAAATCAATTCATAAACGCTGTTTTTCTTTATAAACATATACTAAAAGACATATGAATGTATGCAGTTCAAATATAAGAACTTCGTTTACATTCGATAAATCAGTTCAAATACAATTTCGTATGTGCATTCCATTATATATTCATATAAAATTAGTAAAGGTAATACAAAGCTGAAAAAAGTGCAATTCTCTATTTTCGAAGTCCGAAATGCTCTCCATTTGTATATATCAAAAAGACAGAGTTATATAAATCATAATTTTCGATGTATTTTGAATACCTATGAATCAAACATAATTTCGGATAGGGATTGTCATAATTCCTATAAATCTGAATTTATATAAATTTTTTATCTGATCAGATAGACTAAAGTATGATGATGAAAAAGTTAATTGTTTGCGTTGATCTCTATTTACTTATTAAGATCTTTCTCATATGTTTGCATAATCAAATGATAGAAACGAATGTTTTTATAATGATGTAATAGAAACAAGAAAAACCCAGAGATGAAGTGAAGGTGAAAGATTCATTAGGAACAGAATATGATCTGTGTACTAACAAAAATCATAATGAAAGAATTTGCTTAATATTCTTCTCAATATTTGTATCAACTGTTTCTTGTCATTGAATGAATTATTAGTTATTTCCTTGACCTTTCTCAGTTATTTGTCTTCCGTATCAATGAGTTATTTTTTTTAAGACAACAAAGTAATAGTTATAAACTCGATTGCTAAAATATATGTTCTAAAGTAATAATCTAATTACTCTTTTTGTTTTTATATCTAAATTTTAATTATTAATCAACTAATTAATAAATGTTGAAAGTATAGTCAAAGAAAAAAAAATGAAAAGTTTCTGAAATATTATTTTCGTTGAGTAAATATACCAATACGATCATGCATAGCAACAAAAACATCTCCTTTTGTATTAACTGCTAATGATTCCGGATATTCAATACCACTTGCAATTAATTTTTGAAATTGTCCATTATCATCAAAAAGTACTAAACGATCATTATGTGAATCAGCAATTAATATATGATGTGTATCTGGAAGTACAGTTATACCACGTGGACTTGATAATGGAAGCGAAAAATTTGATGATGTTTCACTACCAAAACGCTGAACAAATGTTCCGTCAAGAGTAAATTTATGAACACATGAACCTAGAAATATTTATAACTAGAAACTTTATTGATAAATAAAATTTTACCTTGTGGATCTGTTACAAAAATATGTTCATCTGTTGCCGCACAATAAGCAAGTGAACTAAATAAAGTTTTATTACCAAAAAATCGTATAATACTTCCACTTTTAGGATCATAAACTTTCACTTGTCGATTTGCTTGATCACATACATAAATTAGATCATTTTTATCTACACATATACCTTGATAATTTGTTAAACCAGCATCAACATCATCACAACCTATTGTACGTATTAAACGTAAATCACTATTTAATATTAATACTTGTAATTCGTCACTCATAACAACTTGATCATTACTCATAATAGCTAAACCATTTTTTGTTCCATAATGACTTATAATTTTAGCAACTTTATTATCTTCTGTAAATGCAACAACACGTTCATTTTTCGAATCAGCAATAAATAATAATGCATCCGATTTACGATAAGCTATACCACGTGGTTGATCAATAAATGATTTACCAAATTCTAGAGAGCCAAGAGAAGCATTTAGTGTAAATTCTAATTGAGATGAACTAGACATTATTTAATAACTAATAGATCTAACGAGCAAGTTATTTATATATAATAATAATAATACACGTTATAATGATGAAAAGAAAACTGGAGACGATATACTTGTTGTCTGAATAGGATACAACTGAATGAGAACGACGCTATATCTCAGCATAATCTTTCTTTTCCAGTCAACTAATATATCAAAAGAAATATGATATACGTCATTATATATATGGGAAAGCAACTTGAAGAATAACAATTTCTGTATACAAATTTGTTAGTAAATGGATTGTTTTTACAGAGACAAATGTCTTTCTTTCCTTTCTTACTGAGATATTCTGGAAAACACACACACACACTTGATAAATATAAACAAAATCTTTTATTTTTTGTTTATAACTAAAATATAAAAAAAACAATCAATGTGTCATTTCTATACGAGAAAACATAGTCGAATGAATAGAAATAAACCATATCAATTTACGTGGATAATTTCATATCTTATCTAAGTTAGAGACATATGATTTAGATCATATCGTGGTGAAATTTATTTCATATATGCAAATAATTCATACAATTGCGTAAAACGATTAGTAATATCAATATTAAAAAAAAACTTTTAATGCACTTTATGTTAACTAATGAATTGTCACTATGATGATGATTATCAATAGGAAAAAGAAAAATATAATGAGATTGAAAATTATTTATCACTTAATCTTTCGTATGTTTTCATTAACAAATAGATGGGTTTATTTGTCTTTTTTTTAATAAACTGGTTGTTGACGAGTAACTGTTGTTGTCGTCGTCGTTTTTGTGACTGTTGTTTCTGTGTTTTCACTAGCTTCTTCAGCTCGACGTAAACGAATACGATTGATAAAATCAACTATATAGGCAATGCAAGCTGCGAAACCAAAACACTATAATAGAGTATTTCAAAAAACAAAATTTGATTTATTTATTTTATTTATAAATAATATACCGCAGCAGCTCCATAAAGAGCATTACCATTTGTAGCCGTTGCAATAACAATACCAGCAATGAAATAAAATAAGGCAATAAATGCACACCAACATAATTCCTAAAATTAAATCAATTAAAAATCTTTAATCATTTGTATACAAAAGAATTTACAATGAGAGACCAACGTTCAGGTATAAAAACAGCTTGTAGATTAATTAACGCCATTAATAAAAGAATTGTTGTTATAGAAATAGCTACTATAGAAACAAATAGAAAAAATCCTTTATTACCACTATAGGTAAGAGTTGGTGCTACTGCAACTAATATTATTGCAATGAAACTGCAAGCCTTAAATTAATAAAATAAAAAATGTATTTTTATAGAAATAAAAAATTTTTACAAGTTGAACGAGTTTTAACATGCCAGGTAGTTTACGAACATAATTTAATCGACAACCAAGTCGTGGACGTTCATCGTCTTCCATGTTTAATATATTCAAAATTGGAATGAATTCTGGTCAAAATCTATAAAAAGAAGTTAAGTTAGAAATGATTTATTACGCACTTTTGTTAAAAATCAATAAACAGAATAGTCAAACTAGACTAATAGAATAAACCTGATCACAAGTGTGCATATTACTATTAATGAGTGATTGATCGGTGATAATATGACACGTCACCTTGAAGAAATATAATTGTGTCAATACGTATATACAACAAGATATTAAACAATTTATCTATTATCAAATAAATCTAACACCTAAATTTTATGTACCTTGATGTATTGAAATTATCAATAAATATGTACTTCTGGTCTAGTTTAGGACTCAAAATAAAATATTATTTTTTAAATAAAATGAATCATTTTCAAACAATCTAATTGGTGTAGAGTAACCAATTGAATATGAAACTAATTACCACACTTCAGTAGCACCTTCCATACCATACTGTTTTTTTCTATAGGAATGGGAAGTAACACAGCTTTCCGTGCGTTTCAGTCGACACAATCAATGTGAATAAAAATATACACTTCAATAGTATCGATTAATAAATACAAAAAAGCACTCATTTTTATTATTATTAATTGATAAGTTTATATTAAGAATAATAATAATCATACATATCGTATCATTTTTCAATATTTAAGTTAAAGAAAGATTATATGTTTAATTTTCTTCTAATTATATACATCATATATCATATGTATGATTGTATGTTAACTTTTATTGTAAAAAAATCATGAATAGAGATGTGCCGGATCAGTGAAACCTGGTCCCCAGTCCCAGGTAGTTCATTTTTTTGTCAGTTCCGACATATTGAAGTAAACAAGTATATAATCAAATAAGAATTTATATTCGCTTCTTTTTTTGAGCGTCTTTGAACAATATAAATAAATCGATTATTGTTCATTCTTATGAAAATAAAAGGTATTTCTTGTTAGAACATCAAGTCTTTCTACTTGAAACATATTACAGTTCATAGAACACATAAAATAATTATTAAGATATTGAATTGATATTTTTATTTTCAAATCATTTTATTCGACTTGATTGAAAAATCGAGATTCGTAGTTTAATCACATGAGTTATAATTAACAAAATATATTCAGCACATTTATTATATTAACATTGTACAATTCATCGATATTCAAGTTATCTATCAGTTTATATTATAAGAATAAAAGCATAGAAGGCAATCGTTCTATTTGTATAGTCTTCATATCGTCTTAAAAAATATACGTAAATCAATTTCGAAGCAAAGATGATCTGTTCATTTACATTAAGCTTTTTTTCTCTCTCTGTCTCTTCTAGTAGATAGACGTTCTGGTCAAATACAAATTTCTTATTATCGTAAATAACACAATTATCATTGTTATGAACTAATCGAGTTCCTATATATGTTGTACCAATTTATTCATTAGCGTTTTCTGTTAATAGTATATCTCATTGTTTGTTATATTTCTCATCTTCAACATAAGTTTTATTAAGTCAATGTTTACCTATTCGTTAGAATACAAATGAAATATTTCTGGAATATTCAATGTTGATAGAAATGTACCTTTAATAATAAATATATTTAATATAACAGAAAGAAGATCATATCTAGAATTTTTGCCGCGTTTTTCTAATAATGGTAATTCAGACATGTTTTAATCATTAGGAACTGAATGAATTATTTGCATGTGTGACTAAAAAAATTATTGAATGGATATTACTTTTGAGAAAGCTAATTTATTCGAAATATTTATTTGTATATATATATATCATTATATAAATGTGATAGGAACTTATTTACTTGCATTGGAATATATTACGAATATTTTTTTTTTTCTTCTAATGAAAGATGAATATATATATGTAGATGATGATGATGATGATAGACTTTTCTAAAGGAAACAATTTGGTAGAAACTTGTCATTCATTTGCATATAGATAATATTAGAAAAGAATAAGAAGACGATTGGATTTATCTTGCATTAGTGTTGTCTTCAACTCTCGTCTTCAATCGAATCAGTGAACGTGCTGACTAAATAACAAAAAATTAACATTTCTTTTCCTCTAAAGAGAAGAAGCAAAAAAGAAGAAGAAGAAGAAGGGAATGAGGAGGAGAAGGATAAATTGTTCTTTGTTAGTTTAGTAGTAATGTGAAAAAAAAAGAAAGAGAATTCTACAGGAAAATATTTATCATCATTCAATGCATTGATGTCGATGTTTCCTGCAGTTAGTTCGGAGAGAATGATGATCGGTTCAAACCAACAAATATTGATGAATGACAACTGCGATTTCTTTTTTTTTGTGCTGCCTCTCTTTTCTATTGTTCCTATGCATTTATTGCCGTGACACGTAAATTTTGCGGAAAATCATGTTTCTTTCTTCATTTCTATCTTGTCTTATTCAATCAGTTATGTCTATTCTTGCATAAGCATAGTACTTTACATCTCTCTATATTTTCTTATTAAAGTAATATTATTCTCATGTTCTTTACTTTGATTAAAATATAACGAAGATGTTTCTCGTTTTTCTTTTTCTTGTTCATTACTTCTAGTTACATTCATCCAATCATTTATCTATGTTATATCCTTCAACTCTTTTTTTTCTTCTTCTTTGTTCTATAATGTCGAGCGAAAAAGTTCTCGACATTAGAAAAAATGACAGAAAGAGAAGAAAACAGCTCGATTCGAAATAGACCGGCAACAATGATGCATGCGTTTTCTGCGTCCTCATCATCATCATTATAGATAGATAGAAAATATAATCTATCAATGCGCGCACGCACACACACACACACACACACATACACATAAGCATTTCGCATCATTGTATAGTCTCCTCATCGTTCTCTCTCTTACGCGAGGCAATGAAAAAAAAGGACATGGAATAGACAAAAAAACATTGTGGTTCTAATACCGACGAACGTTAAAGACAAGAGAACGAGAAGAAAAAGGCGGAATAAAACTTGCCGAAAAAAAAGAGGAAAGAGAAAGAAGCAAATACTTTTTTTTTTTATAATACATACATATATGCGAATGTCCACGACACATCATTCTCTTTTTTCTCTCTCTCCCTTTTTTGTGCTTGACAAGCGTTCTCGTCTATCTTCGTTTTTTCCCTTTACTACTCTACCATCTGTTGCATATGTAGAAGCAGAGAAAAAAAAGAACGAGAGAAAAAAAAAAACGACCGACTAGCAACAACAAGGCAAAGTAGTATCACATCTATCCAAATTGCTTTCTCTCTCTCCCTCTTTCTCTTTTTCTATGTTCTCGTACTACCGAGTTGATTAAAGACACTAGTCTAGAGTGATGGAATCACTGCTACTCATAAAATGTTTGCAACAATCATCTTTTCTTTCAAGTAATGATGAAGACAAAGAAGAAAAAGGTAAAAAATGTTAACTAAAGATCAAATAGGGTTATATCCGTTTTTCTTTTTTTTTGTTTCAGTAATACAAGTAAAAGAAATAACGGTCGGCAACGATCGGAAACAAATGAGAGTTCATCTCAAGAGACTAGAAGGAAGCAAGCACATTTTTTATTCTTTACCATCATCATTCGTCGTTATATTCGTATGTGTGAGTGCGCTCGCGTCGATCACACGTTGAGGTTGTCGACATCGTCGGTTTTTTTTATTAGATAAGTGACATACGAACATAGAATAGTGGGTGTCGGTAATATTGTATCCTGCTGCTAAAGTTTATTCGACGAGGTAGAAATGAATCTGATCGCTCTGTTATTTGTCTTTATATTCTCTATTCAATAAGTGTGTTAAAGCACAAAAAAACCGAGAGAAAAAAATCTCTTTTCTTTACACACTCATATATATATATATATATATTTGTGTGTGTATATACATATTATTGTATGTATATAGAATCAAAAAAAAAGAAACTATTGAGAGAGACAATTAATAATAAGAATGATAGGAGTCTATGAAGTCATAAGTACTTTTTTCTAGTTGAATGAACGTATATGATGTTGATAGTTAATTATTTTAGATCTCGGCGTGCGTAAAATCAAGAATCGGATTAAAGACAGGAAATACCGTCTGTCTAATTCGATCATCGACACAAATCAGCAAATGAATGCAGCTGATGACATAGACACACACCCTTCTCGTGTATATTCGCGGCCTCGAGCTGCAATTAAAACTTGTTCTTTCTTCTTTCTCTCTCCTTTTATACACGCTTATTCTCTTTATTCGACAAGGTTGAACTCTTCTCTTTTCCACGCATGTATGAGTCAGTCGACTCGAATGATAATACACCATGTGCAAGTGTGTGTGTGGGTATATACATGCACTCGTCGACTATTTCTGTTCGCTTCTTCTAGTAGATATACGCATATATATATATATATATATATGTACACAGTCGTTCATTCATCAACACGATTTTCTTTCTTTCTCTCGGTCTTTTTTTTCTCATATTTACTTGATGCACAATTCGTCGACAGATGAGTAGTAAGTTATACATCCAAATGGAAATGTCAAGTAAGGTCAGATGTTTTGTCTTTTCTTTTTTATTTTATTTTACAGAATTATTATCTTCGTAATTCAATTAATCCAGTCATCGTAAATAATATATATATATATATATATACTTCATTTATCTATTATCATTAATAGTTTTCCTGTTCAATATCTTCATATTATATTTGAAGTCGTTGTTTTTTTGTTTATCTATTTATCTATCTATCTTGGATATAGATGGGTCTTCAACACCTCGTTAATCTTTGTCACAAATCGATTTTCTTCTTTTGGACGGAGGTTTGACGAGGAATTGAGACTCATCAATGTGACGAATTCAAATGACGCATTATTTTATTTTATGTATATAGACAATAAATTTAAAACTTTTAAGATTCTATAGCAAAATTCATCAATGGTATAATATATTTAGATAGTATTATCAAAAAAAGTTTCATTTCCACATAAAAATTGAAGGAATAAATAAGTAAGTAAATGGAGTATTTTTCTATATAAAGATACTTGATATCATATTTCTTCGAAAAAAGAAAATAATATATGTAAGTTATTTTAGTGCACAGTATAGAATGTATATTAAAAGGTCGAATTATGTTGTTTATAGACTCCTAACAGGGAAAGTAACAAATGAGTAAGATAAAGTTGTTTTTGATTTTGTTATAGTACAAAATAAAAGATTGTCTTAGTAAAACAGATCGGAAATTTAAACGTGTAAGTTTAGTTCTAATTACTTGTTAGGTTGAATAGTATTTACAAATACTCGATTGAATATCATCCAACAAACTGTTAGGCAACTGTCTAAATATTTAATAGTAATTAAAGGAAAGTACATCTAATTGGAACATATGTCTTTATGAATATACAATTGATTAATCTTTAGAATCGTTCGAGAGAAATTTCCTTTGAGAATAGATATTTATTTTTCAATATTTTTGAAAAGAAAAAGACTCCTACGATTTACTTATTAAATCACGATATATTTCTAAGTGAACAAGAGAAATTATATAGATTCAATAAAGCAGTAAGATAGGGTATGTAGAATTTATATATGAGTTCGTTGATGTGTTTTTCCGTGGTATTGCTTCTTGGTTACTATTCATTTCAGAACCTGGAAAAATAATATTAAGCACGGAAGGTTGATTTAGGTCTTACTTTAGAATTATGTTCAGAACCCATTGAAATGTTCTAGTTATTATTGGACGTTATTGAATAAAATCAACACGAACAAGCATTATATTTATATACATTACATGATCAATAACCTTGTAAAAAATAGGGAACCATCTGGGACATAGATTTTAAATACTAATTTATTAATTTGTTTTAATTTATAGTGTTATTGTATTTTTATGAGTAGGGATAGTTCTCATGGAAGTAATGGTTTGATGGAAACCTAAGATTTCAAAATATCATATAATAAAAATATCGTATTTATCTTTTGAATTAATAATATTTTGAAATATATTCTGTTTTTCAAGTGTAGAAATAATTATTACTAGAGAAGAACTTTGAAAAATATAAATTATCTGAAGTTTATACTTTCATTACAATTGGTTCCGTTATCAATAAGTATTTTCAGAAAAATCTGTTGTTTTATTTTCTAAGAAAGTATATCAAGGACAATATTTTAGGATCATTTTGATTCTTTACTACAGCTGATACAACGAACAATCATAAGATATAGCCATATGGTACTACTAGTCAATAATAGATCTAATAATAAAAAATGTTTATGGTATTTATTCATTCTTTTTCTTGTTTATTTCTACATATTGGTAAACTTTGTAATAGAAAGACATATTAATTGAAAAATACCAAGCAAGTACACTAAGAAATTTACTAATTACTTTACATGTTTGGAGAAATTCTCTGCGAATAAAAGAAGTACGGCTCGTTGATGAATATCATTCTGATTTGTTGTCTCCGGATGGTCATTCAATAATTTCTTCTTGTATGAAACACATATCTATCAAATGAAAATTTGTCGTTGATAATTATTTCAATTGGTATTTTTATAATAGAAGACAATAATATTGACAATAGGTTGTTAATAAAATTGAAGTCATAAAATATCCGAAATCTTACAATTCTATACTTTCATGTTGATTAAGTAATTTATCGAGATCTCTTAAAAGGTTGCTTTATATTATATATCAAGATGATAAATTTCTGAATTAGTGAGACTGTTTGGCATTGTTCTGATGTGTATTATACAGTTGTTGAAAATTTTCGATTGCCTACTCGAGTAATCATACTTGAAAGTTTGAATCTATGTAGAACTCATTCTACAGTATAGGAAAAAGTAAGATGACAAAGCAAATTTCTTCTTTTATGTATTGTCGATAGAAAGATGTAACTCAAGTTCAATAAAGTAATCATTTTTACTTATTTTAACGATGAATTAAATATTCATTGATTAAAAGATATTTCAAGTATAAAGAAATACATAACGGAATTGTCTTATTTCATGACAGATGCAAACAATTATCGAGGAGTGATAAATACATGTGTAGTATATATATGGAAGAAATGAACTAAAGATTGTTTTCCAGTTGTATTGTACACATACAGACAGATAAAGAACTATTATAAAATATTTCTTATAGAACGTCTATGATGAACAATTGAATTTCTCATGATAAAGGCTTTTTTTATGCGCTGCACACTCAAAGATAGATGAAGGATGACTCAAGTATGTATGAAGTTGATGGACTAGCAATGCTATTGATTGTAGTATGACAGAATGAAGAAAATGATTCTTCACAAAACTCGAACTACACATAAGTTCATATACCGAAAAATTTAAGTCTGACAGTGATGAATTAGAGATTGAAGGTAAGTATAATTTTATTACTATAAAATCATTACTCAGACTATTATTGGAATTTTTAAGGAAGGTGTGTGGAAGAAAAGCTTATAACTCTTAAATAGCAAGTCATAACGACCTGCGGTTTTCACCATTCGATAGAGAACAGTCGGGGGGGCACATGCCTATGCATAGCTTCTTTTAAAAACTGGTTTTTTAATTTAACCACCAACTCAATTAAACGATTTTAGCCAAGACGTTCTCTATAAAATATCAAAATTCATAGTTTCTACTTAGAAGAATAACTATAGAAATAGTATTTATTTTTAAGTTATAGAATAAAAATCTGAAAGCAAACATAGTTTAATCACACAATGGAAAGAGGAAAAGTCTGGACACGTATTTTATAGTGTTATTGGAGAATTTAGTGAACGCATCGATGTGAATGAACGTTGATTATTATTCTAAATAAAAAATAAAGATATTTTCTAATTTAATAAAATATTTTTTACTTCATTATATAATGAAAAAATTGATTTTGATTGTTTATTATCACGTAATCGCATATTATCATTTCTTAACTCATTCATACGATTTTGTAAATGTCGAATAAGTGCATCTTGATTAATTTCATTATCGATTTTTTTTTCAAATTTAATCTTTTAAAAATAAAATATACAGAAGATTTTCTCTTTCAAAAATTTCTACAAAACCTTTTCAGGAGGTAGTTCAGCATGATGATTCGATGCAGTTCGTTGTTCAGATAAGCTAAATATTTTTCTTACATTAAAATTAAATCATTAATCAAAAAAAAATAAACATACCGAGTAAGTTCAAATGCAATATGATCTTCAAGTTTTTGTATAAGATTATCAACAGTATGATTTTGTTGTACTGATAGCTGACATGAATTTAATGAATCATTTTTCTAATTAAATCAGATAATGGTAATAAAATATATTTTAAATTCATTTTACTTTTTTAGATTTTAAATATAATTTATTATTATCATCATGTGATCGATTTGAAAGATCGAGTGTCTACAAGAATATATTCTCATCAATAATCAAAATAAAAAATTTATTTACTCGTTCTGATGATTGTTTTGTTTTTTGTAAAAGTATTGTTTTTGTTTCAATTTGTACTCTTTGTTCAATGATATAATTGCGAATATCATCAACTGTATTTTGAAGGAATTTCTAAACAAATTTTTTTTTTATAATAATAGATCAAAATGATAATTCTTTACAAGAATATTTCGAGTTGGTGTTCGTTCAAAAATTGCTGTTTCATCATATACAAATGATGAAATATTTCTATTTAAAAAATTAGTTTTAGAATACAAAAGAAAAAACTAAACGATTTTCATACGGAATTGTCGAATAGGTATGTGACGGAGTATCCATAGCCATAAGTAATTTTTTAATTATATCATTTATTGTATGAATACATGTTTTTTCAGCTGTTGTTAATTGAACAAGTAGTCTATGTTGCTGAGCAGTTACATTTGCATTTGCAGTTGAAAGATAATTTATTGTTTCTTCTAATTCACGAGCATGTTCTTGTAAACGTGCAAATTCGATATCTTTTTCCTAGTTATTAAGAAAATATTTAAATACATTAACATCGAGATTTGTTCTTGAAAAGTTTCAATATTGATGTGAAACTGTTTATTTAACGATGTGAAGAAGGTCAGTTATTATATATAATCTCAAGTGTTTTTTCAATGAGAGAAGGTCAAAAGAGCTTGTTAATGTTACAATTAATAAGTTTATTTAATGGTTACTCTATAGGTTAAACAGTCAACTAAAAAATACGATTAAACAAAACAATCCATGACTTCTAAAGTGCACTATATTTAAAATTCGGGTATAAATTATATTTTTAAGATATGAAACATCGATTTTCAATTCTTTTTATTGAGTAAAAAATGTAATATTATGATAAATAATGAATAGAAACACAAGGTTAATATTATTTTGCTAATAATTAGTATTATTCATTTGGTTTACATACTAATTGAAATTGATTACGTGATCGAATAATTTCATTTTGATATTCTTTTCTACACTGTTCTTTCATACTATAAATCGCATTGATGCGTTCACGATCACTTTCTTTTAATAGAAATTTTGTTTCGCTTGATTGCTATGATGAAAAGAAATTATAAATCTTTCTTTCTTGTTTCTCAAAAAAATAAAAACAACAACAATAACAAAAATAATTCTTAAAATAATACCATTTGTGCATCATATAGTTTCTTTTCTAAATTTTGACAACATTTACGTTCAATATTTAATTTATCTTGTAAATCTTTAACTAAACGAATTTTTTCTTCTTCAAATTTTGCTCGTTCATCAGCTAATAATAGTTCTTTATGTTCATGCCAAACTTTTCGTTCACGCTCCATTCGATCTTCCACCTATTAAACAAACTTATTATTTTTTTTCTCTCTAAATTAATAGATATTTTGCTAAACCTGTAATAAAGCATTTTTATGTGTTGATGCTAAAGCAATAAGTTCATTATCTTTTTGATATACTAATGCTCTTAATTTGGCAATTTCACGATCTTTTGTCTATAAAGAAAAATATCTATATATATAAAGAAATTGTATAAATATTTCTTACAAGTGCATTTCCAAAAAGATTAGTATTTAAACATTTTGAATCATTAGAATTGAACTTTTAAGAAAAAAAAAGAAATTAATTTTTAAAAAAGAAAAAATCTTACCAATTGTTCAATAGAAATAGGAGATGAATATGATAGATCATTTTGTTGATTTGTATCGATAATTATGTCTCTAATTATTTTATAATAATGAATAAATTACTATTGAAGTTATATGACATACTTCAATGAATCATTTGCATAACATTTTTGCATAAGTGTATTTTCCAATATTCGATATTTTTCTTCAATTGATGATCGTTTATGATCATATTTGGAAGAATGTCGATTATTCATATTTCAGTTCAATGCATTGAAATCTGTATAAAAGTAGTTATTTATATCAATAAAAAGTACAACTGAAGTGTGAAGCTCTAGTTGATGAACCAAGGAGAGAGAGATCAATATGATGATGGCAATAGTAGTCAAATATTTAAATGTACAATATTATTCATGTATATTTCTCTCTTTTTAACAATTCTTGCGTTCTTTCCATTAATTCAGATTTTGACGCGTTAAAAAAGTGTTTACTCTGTTTTCACTTTAAAATAAGGAAGAAAGTCACTTCTATATTGCGTTGTATAGAGAGGCAATTACATTTTGTAATAGATTAAATTCAAATGTTCATGTTCACCTCGAGAAAAAAAACAGAACACATAATCGAGCATGACATTATTACACATAGTTAGCTTAAAAAATAAATTGAACTAAATTTACAACAAAGAAAAGAAAAAAGAAACGAGAAAAAAAGAAAATTTTATTTTAATTGGATCTCTTGATCCTACTGTCTTTTTATTATGAGTGTATTTTTTCAGAACACACATGCGACATGAAAAGACAAAGAAAACGATACAGATTATATTATCGGACGAATCTACACATTAAAAACAATGGAATTCATCACCGTCAAATAAAAGACAAGTAAAGAAAGAAAAAAACAAACAAACAAATAAAAATCTTATTTAAATGTAACTCGTTGACCAATTCCTGTTGAAGGCACTGCAGCATCGGAAAATGCTCTACCACGAACTTCATCACCATCATCTATACTAGTACGATATATACTCATTGTACCAAGATGTGTAGTTTCATTATGACTACCTGTACTATCTTCAGGTGTTTTAGTTGGATCAAGTTCATGTTTATCTGTTGCACCTCCTAAAATATTACTTATTGTTCCTCCAACACCACTTGTACTTGCTCCACCATGTGGTCGAAATGCTTGCATGGAAAATCGACGATTTTTACGTCGTTGCCCATGACGTTTTGTTAAATGTGGATTATCTTTACGCATTGTTTTCGTTTTTAATACATGCAAAGATGTATATAAACGTTTTAATTCCGCCTTAAATAGAAAGAGAGAAAAACAAAATTAAAAATTTTCTTAAATATAAGGCAAAAAAATTTGTTACTCGAATTTCTTCGGAATCCATATCTCGTATATTTAATTCACCAAATTCAATATCACCATTCGATTGTAATTTGGCAACTAATTCACCTGGTTCAACACCATCAGGTAATGAACGAAATCGATCTCGAGTAGTATATTCTTCATTAATTGGTCGAAACATAAAACATAACTAAATATATATTCAATTATTATTCTAATCAATAAATTCTTTTCGTTAATTTACTTTTGTACAAAATATAAACACGATCATACATGTTACTGTAAAATGACATCGAAAAAATGATAATATAAGAAATGTATCGGGATCAATTGATGCCCATAAACAATCTCTAGACATAATAATATTATTATATTAATAAAACAAAATAATTTCATTGACTTACTTAATAACATGAAGTAATGTTGAAAAAAGCATTTCACAAACAACAACAATTGTAATTAATTTACGTTCATGATATTCACATGGAGCTGTTCGTGTACTATAGATAAAACGAATTCCCACGCACAGAAAAATAAATTCAGCTACAAAGAAAAATCATGATTAGTTAATTTTTATTTTTTTTTTTTCTATATACAAACCCATTTGAATAAGATAATCCCATGAACGTGGTCGACATGTTTGAAAATAACTTTTTCTTCGAAATGTAAAACCATGTCCTAATAAATATTGATTAAGTGGAAGATTTTCATTTGCATGATCGATATTAACAAATGTCCAACCCAGTAAATAACCAATAATTGATATTGATATAAAAAATAATATACGTAAAATATCTTTTTCTTTAACTTGCACACAATGTGCTTTACGTGATTGAAATTCTGCTAACATTCTATATAAATAAATAAATAATAGAAAAAATAATTAATTTTTTATAATTTACTTATAAATACGTAAAATTAATGTACCATAAACAATTGTAAAGCCAAGTTCACGAAGCCTAGAAAGAAGAATAAATATTGATTTTCTTTAATAAACAATGAACAAGAAAAAATAATTATTGCCTATTTCGAAATACTAATAGAAGTACTATTAATAATCCTTGAAAAATTATTCGAGCAGTTATCTTCTTTTTTTCCCATAAGAAACATTTATATGATATTAAATAGCTAACAAGATTGATTTCCTACTCAAAATGAGATTGAGTTTTTAGCTCTATGGCATGATTAATAGATCGTATGACCTTTTCTACATATTAAAACATTCTAATATGATAAAACAAAAATATTTTATATTTTGTTCTTCTTCTCTTTATTATTATATAATAAGACATTCTTACATACCAAGGCATTATTAAACAAACAATTCCATGTGGACCTAGACTATCAACAATAACCTAAATATATAAATAAAATAATTACTTCTTGAAATATAAAATAATAGGTTTTTTTTGTTCTTACCGATGCATAAAGTAATGCACCTCCAAAAAGAACTAATTCAAGTAAAATCCACATTGAATGTTTAATTATTTTGATTTTACGTTTTTGAAATACAATAGCAGCTAGTAGAGCAACAAAAACAATAAATATTGATTGAATAATTATGATTATTGTACGTAAAACATTATTATATGTAACTAAACATAATTGTGGATTACATTGACATCGACTATTTGGTTGAAATGTTGGATCATCTTTAACTGTATCATTCCATTCTAAATCTTTACCATAAATTGTCGTTGTCATATTATCATATGGACCTTTACACAAGCATTTATAGGCACCTAATTTAAAACCTTGACCATCTTGATGAATACACTATTAGAGAAAAAAAACGAATATTAAAATTAGAGAATTAAAAAAGAAATTCTTTGTACCTGCATATCATGTGGACATTTATGTGTTCCACTAAATGGTAAATCATTATTGTCACATTGATTTATATCAACAGTTGATATATTAAAATAAGAAATAAGAAAATAACTAAAAACAAAAAAATAAAAAAGCAATCATCTATAAATATCAATATTGATTTATTTAATTTACTCATTTGTTAATGAAAGTATATTAGCAATAATAAAAGCTTCATTTTGATTTTTCTCACATAAAACTGGTCCAAGCCACCAACCATTTGTGGATGAAATTCTTTTTGCATCTTGTTTAAATGTTTCACGTACATTTGACATTGTAAAACTTTGTAAAATAATATCTTGTTTAACTATATTCTCACTAATTGCATCAATATCAATTATATCTGATATTGATTTATTTATACGAGAATATTTAATTACATCTGAGCCACCATTATCATTTGTTAATGTTCTTATATCAATTTCATTAATACGTATATAACTAATTAATAATACCCGCATATAAATACTAAATTTATGACCAAATTTTTCTAATGTATGATCAGCAAAATAATTTGCTGTTTGATTTATTTTCATACGAATCTGTCCTGCTAATAGTTTTAGTGAAGTAAGTTCACTTTCAAAAGATTTTTCAATTAAACGAATAATAGGTAATGATACAGCATTTTCTAATGGTATTGGATAAATTCCATCTGATGCCATATTTATTGTACAATCAGATAATACAGATGAACTTGTTCGATTTAATAATCGACGTAACATATCAATATCATGTTGTTTATCATTAATATTTGAAATCTGTCTTTTTAAACGATGATTTAAAGATATATGAGACGTTTTTGTATGAAAGAAAATAAAAAAACTAATAAGAAATATAATAATAAATAGAATTAAATAGAAATAAATTGATATAAAATGAAAAAATGATGATTGTTTTGATTTTGAATTTAACATATTATTATTATTATTTCTAACTTGAATATATGATGATGATGATGATGATGATGGAGATGAAGAAAAATAATAATATTCTTTTTGTTTCATGATAAGATTCTTAAGCTAAAAGAAAATAGATATAATTAACAAAAAAAACATCAAGCGTAAAAAGAGAACGATAGATAAACAACAACACACACACATAAAAAAACGAATAGTTTTCAATACATTCATTAGCATGTCTGCACTAGATGATTAAATAAAATATCTATCATCATTTAATATCTAATTCGCGTTTTTTTCTGATGACATATACTTACGTAATGCAAATCTCATTTTTTTCAATCTATGGAAAAACTTATTTATGTATTGACATCTTCTTTTCTCTCGTTTTTTTTTCTCTCTCCTTATCTCATGGGTTGTTCTATCTAAAGTATATTATATAGGACTACTCAACGTCGTTGTTGTCGTCATCATCTATGAGACTAAATCTGTGCTATCTTTTTTTTTCCCTTCTCTCCTTTTTTTTCTTCTCTTGTCGATAGTCGACCGAACGCAAGTAGACTTGCGTTCTCTAACTCGTTCGATAATTGATCATTTGTTTTTTGACATTCACTAGGTTCTTCGTTCTTAATATAAGCATTAAATTGTACGCAGTCGTAGTAGCATAGGTTGATTCTCGAGTTATCTTCGTGTGTTCGAGTAATGAATATCTTATTTCTACGTCGTCAGACAATTCATTATGCTATATATAGATAACACATGTTTTCTTTTCTTCGATTGAATTGTTTTCGTTTGTCAGATATATTAAAGGACATTCTCATTATATACGATTGATTTCATCAATTGAGAATACATGTCCACAAGCAATCACTGACCATATATATATATATATGCTAGATGAGTAAGAATAAAATATAAAGAATATATTAGCCGGTAGATATGATATAATCAACAAATATAGCTGTAAGGATTGTACGTGTAAAATAACAGAGAAAATGTTGGTAATAAAAATGCGGCAAAAAATGAATAGTAATAGCTAAGGTCTAGTGAAATCTAAGATGGTAATGAAGATGCGGGCATCTAGAGGCGTATGAAATAATCGAAATAATCCTGAAATCTTCACTAGTCGTTCTCTCTCTCTCTCCTCTCTTTCGTCATCGATCTACTTGTTTGTCTATAAATATAGTATTGTCATATGTGTATAGTATAATCAAAACTTACCACAAAATAATTAGATGTCCATTTTGATGTTTGTAATTCTTATCAATATAAAAAAATAAAGAGGATCGATATATATATATATAAATAATGTGTTATTATTTTTTTCTCATTTATTTCAAACTCATCTCGTTTTCTACGCTTGATTTTTCACACACATACACTAGAGTTTCTTTTTTTTTCTCTTTTTTTTTCTACACTTTTTTTGCTGAAATGCGAGCGACTAAGAACACAGGAAGAAGTATCGTTTTATATTTTTTTTTTCACATACAGACATAAACATTCTGTCTATCTATCTATATTGTTCTACTATACACCACTATCTAAATTTATTGACAAGCATATAGTCAAATGCGTGTGCGCGCGCCTGTCTTTAGACAAGAGACGAGAGGGAGAGCGAAGAAAGACGAAGGGCAATTTTTTCGCACTCTCTTGTGCGTATGCTCTAATTCTCACCGGAATTCTTCAGCGCGAGCGCACGGTCGTTTCCTTTCGGCGACGACGACGACGACGACGACGACGACGACTTGAGTCGATATACTACGACATATAAACATAAATGTAGATTTCATGTTCGCGTCGACAGAGAGCTTGGTCTCTCGTAGGAAACCAGTACTAGAAACATCTCCTTTTCTTCTTCTACCATTATATTCTCCGTTTTCTTTTCCTTCTTATTCTGTGCTTTTTCCTTTTGCTTTTCTTTATATTTCTCTCTCGCTCTCCCTCTTCCTCGCTCTCATGAGCGTACAAATACTTTGGTCGGAATTGACGATAGTCTCTTGCTGCTACTACTACTACTACTACTATTCTTGTTCTTCGACGACGACGAGGAAGACGACGACGACGATGTAGAAATGTCGTTTTTTCTTCTTCTTCTTGTATTCGCTATCGTTTCTTCTCATATTTTGAACAGCAGTAACAACGACGTTAGTCTTTAGGGTCCTCATCTCATTCTTTTTCTCTTCCTTTTTTTTCTCTTTTTGAGGACAAAACAAGAATGCATGAGTGTTCGCGGTATTCAGCAGAACCCAAATGATAATGATGATGAGTGCTCATTGTTCTTTCTACATAAAAAAAAATAATATGGATATATAGAGGGGAAAAAAATAGAAACAAGCTATATAGTCGATAAACGATTGCTTATTCACTATCATATTAGTAATGCTCGACTTTCTCGGAAAATGTCACTCCTCATTCACTATGTATATATATTGGATTGTCAAAATAAAAAAAAAAACAAGTTTACATATTCATATATATATAATATATATGAAGATCGTCAAAATGTCTTTGTTAATGTATCTCTATATATTCTTATTGTGTTTAGTGACAAATGGAAAAGCTGAGAGAGAGAGAAACAAGAAAATTGCTCTAAATATATACATATGTTTGTCTTTTGTTTTGGTAATATATCGTATGAGAACTTCACATAATGGAGATATATCTGTTTCTTGTCGAAACAAATATACAGATGGTATCTTTTTGTTAATAATCCACGTATGGATGTATTCATGATAAACAACTAATAAATAGAATGAAGTGGAAATATTCCGAGAATCTTTCTATGATCATCTTCTTGTCTTCGATTGGAAGAAGAAAAAAATGTCTATCGACTTAATTCAGTTTTAGTTCGCTTTCAATCGATTTAATATAAGTATCTACTGTTGCATATAAGACTCAATAGAAAATTTTCCTATTTTGTTTCCGATAAGTATGTATTCTCTTAATACTTTGTCTTGGTGATGAAGAGAAAAAAAAAGGAGAGAAATAAATATTCTTAAACTAATCAGTAGATTTGTTTAGGTTTAATCAGTAAAAATTTTTACTATTTGTCTCTATGTATGTGTGTGTGTGTGTGTGCTAAAATTCATTTGCAATGCATCAGAGATTTTTTTTTGTTTCTCTACACTTATAATAATAGTATTATATTGATCTCTCTCTCTATATATATGAGATAGAAGGGTAATACATTGATGATTTTGATGATATTTACAAATGTTGACATGAAATAGATATGTACTTATTATAATTCTATGAGAAATTTCTCTTTCGTCAATTATGACAATGATAATACATTTATGATAGTCAAGACAAAGAAAAAAATATATTATAAATAGAATTGTTTGTAAAGCTTTTATATTAGTGAAAAATTTAAATTTTTATTGCTAGAATGCACTCTATTCGAAAGGAGAAGAAGAAGAAAAAAAGAATAATAATATTATTGAAGTATATGTAATTGAACTTCAATTAAAGTTGAATCAAAAAAAAAAAGGGTTTTTTTTTCTTTTTTGTTTTCAAATTTAATGTATTGATTATTTTTATAGCAACTACAAATAAACTTAAATATTCATCTAATAATATCAATATTGATCGTTAAAGTATAGTTTGAGTTTGATCAAGTCAACAAGTATTTCTCTATGTAATTGATATAATGGTATTATACAAATATTTTCTTTGTGACAGAAAAAGACATCATTGTTAAGAATGTATAAGATAAAGAACAGATCTGGCAAATAAAATAGCTACGTCTGGAACGTAGAATGTTTGCATTTTTATTAGTAATTATTCAATTTAATTGCATAATTATTTTTTATATATTTGAAATAAATAAAATAACTTATATTATTTTAGTCGTTCTATCTACGCATATTATCAACACTATCTTTAGTAGTTGATGTTGCAATTAATAAAAGATTTTCAACCATATTTTTTTTCTCTTCCTACGCACATTCGTTAGATTCTCAATCAATGGAAGATTATATATGCTGACAACAGCTATATATCATTTTTTTAGCTCATCATTCTTGAGTTGATCTTAACGAAAAAAAACAATTTATAATAAGATTAATAATACTTTATTATAGAAATAGAAATATATAAGATTGACTGTTATAATTGAATAGAATAATTTTCTCTCAAATAAATCATAACTATTCATGTCAATATTTATTTGAATTTTAAGAACAGTAATGGAAATAAAATGATATATATTGCTATTAATGATCAGATAGATATATGATCACTGTATTGAATACGATCAATGGAAAATCTCATATTTCTTTTTAAACTTTTTATTTGTAGAAATAAAAGTTAACTCAGACGAATATTTGTATATCTGTTGATTACTCACAGATAATTATTTTCTATATCATGTAAAATATGATCTTTTATTGAAGTTCAATATTCATCCTCTTGTAAACATCATTTAGTTTCTTGCTTTTTCTTATCCTATCTCGATTGTTGACTTTTAGCGAAAGAAAAATAGACTTAAGACATATTGTGTACCACTTATTCTTTGCCTTCAAATCGAGGACAATGATTCCTTATTGATTCAATAAACAATTTTTCGATAAAAAGATATAGAAAAATATCGTCAGCCATCAATTAAATAAAATATATAATCACTAGTTATATATTGATACATACATACAAATCTTAGTGCAACGTTTTAGAGTTCCAATCTATAAATAATGCTTTTCTTCGGAGAAAAATTATCATATATATATATCATTTATCTTTATCTTTCAACATATACATCAATAAGGCTAAATCTTATGTGTTAAGTATATAGGACTGTGACAAGACAACATCTATCTAATAGACAACAATATCAGATTGGCTTGCAATACATAGTAAAAATTTTCTGTTGTAAACATCATCGGAATAATTTAAAAATATATTTCCTTAAAAAAATTATATAGTCGAACTTAAATAGCTTGATAATTTAGAGATGTTTATTTGATGAAAATTTTTTGCGAATAATTTATCTATTTAAAAGATAAGCGACACAAATCAACGAGTGCCTCAAATCATCGTGAGAAGACGTTTTGTTAATGCATCATCACAACAACCAAAGACGCAACTTTTAAATTAATAAAATTTATCTT